TTTCATATTTTTGTTGCGGTTCCTGTACTCCACAAACGGTATTTCTAAACCTATTCTCATAAACACTATAGAGAGAAAATATTTTTTTCTTTATTTTAGGAAATTGGTCAGAACAATCGATTTCTAGAAATTCACTTAAATTTTCTAAACCACTTTCTAAACGTTCTAATTTTAATCTAGGATAAAAAATAGTACTGAAACCATACAACATTGGTAATTTAGATAAATATTCTTTAAATTTCTTTCCCATAGAAGCGATAGGAATTCTAAAAATTGGGTATGTCATAAATTCACTAAATAAAATACTAAATCTTAAAAGGTCACCTAAAGCTAAAGATGATGTTGGGTAATATGTTCCATTAAGTTTTAAAGTAACTTCATGAAACCTACCTAAAAATTTATACAAAGTTTCAGCAATTTGCCAATCCTATGGGTCTATATGTCCTACTCCTAACTTTGCACTGATATAGTTTATTATAGCATCCTTATATGGGAGGCATTGTTTAAGCATTTTATAAGTTGAGTTATATCTTACAGGCATATCTAGCGCTAATGCTCTAGGAGTTAGATTTAGTACTTGTAAGAACCCAAACCAATCTTGGTCTCTTTGGTTACTACCTTGAATCCATACAATACTATCTCTAATTGCTTTTATATGAATAGCCATTGATTTTAAACTGGATTTTACAGCTAAATTAATTACATGGCATGCACAACGTTGGTGAAATATAGTACCATCACCGAATAAACTTAAATCATTTTTAAAATATTCAATTGCTTTAGTATGTGCACTAGCATTATCTAATGTTATAGTCATCACTTTATCCCTTAATCTATATTCATCAATGACATTTAAAATCGTATTATATATTAGATCGGCGCTATGTGATCCTATAACACATTTAAAACCTAATATTTTCTTATCTAAATCAAAACCTTTGAAGTAATGTCCAGTTATAGATAAATAATATTTGTTGGCAATGGCAGACTAAATATCCGCCGTTAACGCAACGTAGCTGCTAGTAGAGTGCAAAATATTGATTAATCCTTCTTTTTCTTGTTTAAATAATTTTAACAAATCTTTCCAAATAGTAGTTTTTTTAAATAAAAAAAAAACTGTGCATTAGGATTGTGTACAATTTTAATATAACGATGCCAATTAGGATGCTCGACAAAACTAAGTGGTTGATCTAATGATGATATCATTTGCGCAACTTTCATACGATCTACTTACGGATCGTTTTCCAAGTGGTTAGACCACCAGTTGCGTGATCAAATGATAATTGTGTTTGGCAGAGTTCGGCTCCGTCGGTTTGGCCACGCTTTTGAAGACACTTTTCAGAGTGTCTTCTCAAGTGTGTTGTGCCGTGAATAGTGTCACCTTGTAAATTAGAATGGCAATATTTACATTTAGCTATGTGTTTAATGTTTCCGTCATTGTTGGCCTTTAAATTGAGCTATGTGTTTAATGTTACCATCATTGTTGGCCTCCTCTAGGACATCGAAGTGCTCCCAAATTGAGGAGGTGCGCTTGCATTTTCTCTTGGAGGTTGCAACACTTGCAGTAGCACTTGCCTCTCCATGCCCATCATTGCGACCACGACCTCCACTAGATTCACCACGATCGAGATTTAGAATTGGACATTGTTCCTCGGGTGCTTGTGTTTGCGATTTTTACGTAGTATAAACATTAGTAGGAATTGGACTTTGGGGATCAACGGGATTATCACCATAACCAAATGATTCCATTATAAAAATGAAATTAAAATTAATTAACAAAAAAACACAAAAAATAAACAATGAGCTTGAGAGAGGTTGGAGTTTAAAAGAGCTTTGAGACTTCAAATGAGAGCACTTTGAGAAAGAGAGCTTTAGGATTTTGTGTGAGCTTGTGGAAAAATTGTGAGAGATATTTGAGACAAAAAGTGAGATAGATTAAGAGAGATGGAGAGAGAATGTGAGAAATGTTGTGAAGAAAATGTTTGGGGGAGGGAGTATTTATAGGGAAATTTTTGAGTTAAAAAAATCAATTTTTTGTGTGAAATTTTGAGTGTAACGGCTAGTTTTTTGTTCGACGGGTCGGGCTTCGGGCGGGTAGGTAGGGCATTTCAAGCAATGACACAAAATATAGCTATTAGATTCGATCTTTCAGGCGGCGGATCGGGTCGGGCAGCAACGGTAAAAAAATAGCCGTTGGGCGGGCTCTCGGTCGGGCTTTCGGGTGGGCTTAGGGCGGGTTTTGGGCATGGGGGTTAGAATGGACGGCGGGCTTTGCCCAAATTATTTTTTTCGAGCTGCCCGAGCCTGAGCCCGAGGAAGCTCGTTGGACGGGCAGACATTGGGGCCTGCCCGCTGAGCCCCAAAAACTCGGGCTTCGGGCAGGCCTGCCGCCCAAAGTTCTAGCACTATTGATAATCATACAATTGTTGAGAAAAAGATAATCTCGGGTTCATGGGACAAATTGACAGAGCCTAATAATTTGAGAAAACATAATATTAAATAAAGATCTATTGGGAGTCTGCCTATATGATTGCTTATCATGAACTTCTAGGGTATTTTTTTTCTGAAAAAAAAGCCCAAACCGAGAGCCAGATAGATGTGAGGCTGAAAAATTATAAGTAGACCTATAGAAATAATGCGTCTCTAGGAGCATTAAGAAGTTTGTCTTCATTCTCATCCTTTAAAAGATCTATTTTTTACGTTTGTGTTTCAGAGAGTGTTGTAACACTTTATAAAACATTGATGATTAATTGTGCCTTTTTAATATAGAAAAGTAAATTAACCAAGCAGGAAAATAATGCATAATGTAAAGGACACTAGAGATTGGTATTGCAGTTCGGTTCAACAACCTACATATACGGAGCTACGCCCAGACATTAAACAAACCACTAAGTCTTAAAGATTTACAATAACTAATCGGACTTAATCACTCAAAGTCTCCCTCCTAAATGATGACGCCGTTGTGAGCAATCTTCTCATCAGAGGTCTTGTTTAGCAAGCACCACTCATCTTCAAACTGCGCGGTGAACTCCCTTCATTTGGTAGTGCTCTTTCTCCCAAAAGCTTCAAATTCCTCTCTTAAAGAACGATGATTAGTTGAACTCCTTTCAACATGTCTTCTCTCGAAGACAACTACTTCTTCTCTTGAAGAATGACAATGAAAACTTCTCAAAATATTATACGTAAAGACCCATGAAGCTCACATAATGAATAGCCTAGAGTCCTATTTATAGAAATTATAATCCTTATCAACTACACATAATGTTTCACTCTCATGGGTACACCACTCCACGCACACATACATTCACATATATATCTCATGTATATATATCAAAGTTTGGTCCTATGCCTTTTAATTCTAATCCAAATCCAGCTTTGCCTTTTAAACTAATATGAAATCATGAGAAAGATAACATATAAATCAACTCCTTCCAACTTTCACGCATTCAATCAATCAAATATTATTTCCTTAAACAGATTCTATGTCAAATCTGCTAGAATCACCAAGATAACACAAGGCAATTAAATCTCCCAATTATTCTATGAAATTACCTTGCCAAAAATCTGATTTCCACAGCAATCATTTCATATTTGGAACAATAAATCAGCCAAAATCACTTCTAAGTTCTAATCTCCTCCATAATCGCCAATTTCCAAAAATACCTCTATTACATGTTTTTGAATTTTTCAACCAATTGTCAATAAATTACCAACTAACAAAAATCCTAACATCCTTAACTTAGTGATGTGAGTCTGTGCGTGTGTCTATCAAAATTCGAATTCTAATGATTTCATTTTTCATATAAAATGAAAGTCGTAGACCCTGCACCATATTTTTTTTAAAAAAAATTAAGGGTAGAATTTCTAATAAAATGGCACAAAATTAAAAAGTTAAATTAAGAGGGACACATTCCCCAAAATTTTTCTCAAATTTGTGTCCTTTTCAAATTCCAATTCCTACGTGGGTACATCGGTCCCAACAATCCCTTCAATATGGACCAGCGGAGACCCATAAAACAAGTCGACCCTACAACTAAGTCGTGGAGATGAGAAGGCAATCTCTCTTATATATGATTATATAACCACGCCATAATTTCTTCTTGTTCACTACTAGTACATATATGTATGCTTGGCTGTCCCAATCTGCTCTTGATTAGCCAGGAAAGTTATTAGATTGCTTTTATATTTGTTTTGGTTTATAGCTAGGCTAGTAGGTTTAAGTCCCTTTTCCATGGTTACTTCAACTTAGACTGACAATTCGAGTAGCGATACGACGACACAACTTGAAACCCGCACGAAGTTAGCGAGTTTGGGTTTATCATAAATAGATTTGGGTCAAAATCAAAATGAATCAGTAAAATAAGATTAAATAGCGTGCCGCTTTCAAGTTGACCCACCAACCCGCTATTGACCCGTTGTAACCAAACGTGTTATATTTGGATAACACGAATATACAACACAATTACAACATGTTTGTTACCTATGTTTACAAATATATATATATATATATATATATTTAAAGAGAAATAGGTTGACACGACCTTGTTATCACTCATTTTATAAACGAAATAATAAATAGGTTATTGAAAAAATGTTGACACGACACTATTATGACTGGTTTAATAAACGGATTAGTCGTATCGTGTCGTGTTAACCCGCCAATATACAGGCCGTGTTTGGATTTTGTATTTCAACACGAATATGAGTTGTGTTCGTGTCAAGTCATACCGTGTCAACTGAAGGAGTCAACATGAACACGAACACGACACGACAATACGAATTGCCACCCTTAGTTCAACCCATGAAAATTTTGTTTTTTTTTAAATTAAGATTAAGAGGAGTAATTAAGTTTGTCATACCATATATAAAAAACTAGTTCTGGTCTACTCAAGGAAATTTAACTATCGATTTAAAAAAAAAAAAAAAAAAAAAAAAAAAAAAAAAAAAAAAGAGTGAGCAGTCTAAAGACTCTGAAAAAGTAAGAAAAAGTAGTTAATATGTATAACTCAAAAAGTAGACAGATTTTATTAAGGAAAGCAGATACGCACTTGTACATAATTGCCACTCTACTCTTTTCTATCATTTATATTGAAGAATACATGAACTTAATTTCATAGAAGAGAATACGCAGCAGAAGACATGACGGAGATTATTACTAGTTGCGCCAAACCTCTATCATATTAGGTATGCATGCGCTTAAAATACTATCAAATTTGTGAACTTATTATTTTTGCTTCCATCTCATGATCACTAACTATACATACATCGTGAGCTTAATTTAGGGGTGTCCAATGCCACCACCTCCGCCGCCACCATAGCCACCACCGCCACCAAAGCCACCGCCTCCATATCCACCACCGCCACCGTAGCCACCACCCTTACCACCTCCGCCAAATCCACCGCCCTTTCCGTGTCCCCCTCCAAAGCCACCGCCACCTCCAAATCCACCACCTTTCCCATGTCCTCCTCCTCCAAAGCCACCACCACCATATCCACCACCTTTCCCATGTCCTCCTCCATAACCACCACCCTTTCCAAAGCCTCCACCCTTGCCAAAACCGCCACCGCCTCCACCACCCTTGCCAAAGCCGCCGCCGCCTCCCCCACCCTTTCCAAAGCCACCGCCGCCTCCTCCACCCTTTCCATAAACGCCGCCGCCACCTCCACCCTTGCAACAGCCTCCACCTCCTCCTCCACCCTTTCCGAAACCGCCGCCTCCTCCACCACCCTTGCCGTAACCACCGCCTCCTCCACCACCCTTGCCGAAACCACCACCTCCTCCACCACCCTTTCCGAAACCACCGCCTCCTCCACCACCCTTGCCAAAGCCGCCACCAGCACCACCACCAAACCCTCCGCCGCCTCCGAAGCCGCCACCGCCACCGCCACCGAGTCCAACACCAAAGCCATCTCCCTTCCCATGGTCTAACGTCTTCTCCTCCTCATCTTCCTTCGAAGTAACTGCAATATCCCTCGCAACAACACTCACCACAAAAACATTAAAGAAAAAAAGAGATAACAAAACGATTCTCCAAGCCCCAGAAGCCATTTCCGAGATTTTTTTTTTAGAAGTATACAATGTAGAGAGCTAGATAGCTCGTCGATGATGAGAACCTTAACAGAACTGCCGTATTTATAGTACTGAAAGCACTTACTTTTTAATTTCAACATTAAATGGTTTCAACCACTACCTGTTCGCCACATTCAACTTGTAATTAAAGTTATTACACCCACAATTATCAGCGTGTTATATATTTTACTGTTTCTAGATGTAACTCTCACAGCAATTATATTCTAGGTTAAAGACAAAATAGAAAAAGAACCGGCCATATATATTAAACATGCAAAATTATCACTAGGGCCGCTCTCACATGCAACAAATCACGTGGTTGGTATTTCTTGGCACATTAGATTTGTCAAATATCGTACATAAACCTTATTCTTTAATTACTTGATGTACGTAATGCACCACCTATATATATTTCTTATATCAAGTACAATATAAGTTATAATTTACATGTTCTCCTTTTCTTTGTTCCTTTTTTTTTTTTTTTTTTGTCATGACCGGACAATTTGTCAAAAAAATTAGTGTGTAAGATGAAATTTTATGGAATTCTCTGTATTATAAATATAAATACATTTATAATAAGTATTTGTTAATATTACTATTGAATACCAAAGTATAAGCTAAAAGTTAGAAATTTTTAAACTATGATGCAGTTACTGAATTTCAGACTCTAGGCAAGAAAAAGGCTCGGAATGTTCTGATAATCCCACAAGAACATAAACACATGAATATTAAGTTTAAGGGATGAAAAAGAATTGAAAAGCATCAATTCTAGAGTTTTAGAAACAATCAAAACGAAGAACGGACGAAAAAGGAGTTCAAAAGGCCGAATCGAGAAAATTAGGATTTTCGACCGATTAGGGTTGACCGAGTCAAAATTTTTTGACCAAGACTCGACCAATAGGTCACTCTTGAAAAGTTAGTTAAGGTTGAGTAAAGTTGACCAAGTTGACCAATTGTCCGAAAACCGCAGGTAAAACGCGCACTGAATAGGAATTAAACTAAACCGAAATAAGATAATTCTTAAGAATGAATGGTTAAAATTACTGTCATGATAAAAAAAATGACAGTAAAATGAAAAGATTAAAATTACTGGTATAATGTGAAATGGTGACAGTAAGATGATGAATAAGTAAAGATGACAAATGATAAGAAGTTAATAAAACTGTTTGTACCGGCCAAACTGTTTGTACTGGCCTTCGCAAGGATATGTTATTATAATTATGAATGAATCGAAACCGTGAGTGAGTTGGTTTTGGATCGCTACCTCACTGCTCACTGGTGATGCGCCCAACGGTACAACAAGATTGGGGCCCATAAGAAGTAAAAATTATGAAAAATGAACGACACCAAAAATGAAAGATGTCAAGAAGTACGAAATGAAAGAAAAGAAAGTATAATATGAAAGAAAATAAAGCATAATACGATGAACACTTTAAATGTTAGGAAATGTGATAGGATGTATGATATGAGTGCATATATGAGTATGCATTACTGTTGGTATTTATTGTGAACAGTTGTTACTTGCTGAGCGAAAGCTCATCCCGTTTGTTTGTGTTGCGGGAAGCTCAGGTAAGGTACCGGCTCCCTGAAAACTGTATGCTGGGCGTGCATAAAAGAATGTAGCAGTGAGATGTGAGCAAGTACGTAATGGATGCATTACGTGTTTTGAAAACGCTGCTAAGCTTTATGTGTATAAAGTAAATTATGTTTACGAATGTAAACAAGCTATGTAATTAAAGTAAAATGTACGAGACAACGCGGCTATGCATGGCAATCTCAAGTCGCAAGGTATGTTAATGTATCCAAAATGCTATCAGGTTAATGGCATGAGAACAATAGTGGTATGCAAATGGTAAGTCGAATGTTTGTCCACGCCTAGGAACAGATTTTAAAGTCTTAAGAGAAACTTTATCTACAAATTATTCAATGTTAAAAAGTTAAAAATGTTTTCAGGAAAGTATTTTTGATATTAAGTTTTATTTCGACAAAGCATATTACTGTTTATTCTACTTTTGAAGGGAAAAAAAAGTTAACCTAAATTTTAGGAGTTTATAGTTAAAAAGTAGTAGAAATTAAAAAATGAACTAAGTATGAACGTAATAATGATGACTAAAAGTAAGGATCGTCACATTTTTATCCCTTCTTGCGGACTAAATGCTGCACTCTGCTGAAGATATATGCGTGTGTGTGTGTGTTGAGCACAATAATCGCTTGGTCTTGTCTCATAAGGACATTTATTTCTACGTTATTATAATTTTTCATGAAAAGTAGATATAAGTGGTGTGGAAGAAAAAAAAAAATCTAGCTAGATCAGTATTATTTTCTGTCGCTTTCTCTTTTTTATTTTCATAATTTTCTTATGTTACTCCTAAATTTGAGTGTCTCTGGTGTCAGCAATATGACAATCAAGATATTATAAAACGACAAGGGCTTCACATATAGCAAAAATAAAATATATATTTATGAAATTGATATGAACAGCTGCTTATGGAAGATGCCGTAGGCCACTTGGCCACCCTAGCTATATCTAGCGACGCAAATTATGAGGACCACAATCGTATTATAATTTGTGTTTTTTACATGGAGTCGAACTTAATTAGCAGTATGGTAATGTTGTTAGTGGTATTATGTTAGAACAAATTCTCAATGCTACTTGTTGGGGAACAAATTCTATGTGCTATTTGTTAGGGTTTTATCTCTTACAAGACGTTTTACTTCTATATGGAAGTACTTGAAAAGATAGTGCTTTGTTTGTGAAGCAATATTATAATTCGTAGAACGACTTGAATCACATCCTATATATGATTTACATGTTTCAAATCAATTTCATTATGTTAACTCATAATTATTGCTTATACATATTCAATGTAAATGTCAATACTAATGTTATATTTGGTATAAATAAAAAGTGTGAAATTTATATATTTGATATATTATTATATCATATACTATTTTGAATTTTATATCTACTTTTGTCATAATTACTAGCTTAATCTGTAGCTTATAAAAGTTGTTTTTTTTTTCTGAGAAGTAAATTTTTTAGTTTAAAATATTTTAAAAATGACAATGTTGTAATGATTAAATTAAAAAAGGAATATATCAAGCAATAAAAATCAAGCTAAAGTTTGGTGGATGCTATATTTGGTGTCAAATCTCATACCAAATATAGCATATATGCCAAATTTAACACTGAAAATCACTAGAACACACAAGGCTTATCAAATATAGCATATGTGCTCATCTTTTTGAGCTTAAGGACCACAAAAGGGCTCAATTTGTGCACTTTAAATTTTTGGGCGTTTAATATTCCGAAATTCTTTTAAAATTTATCCTTTATTTCTTTTTTTTTTTAATTTTGAATTTCATCATATCTAAACTGATTGATTCAATTGTATGATGTATATCCTATTTTTAACTAACAATTTGATTTCAAAAGGAACTTAGATTTCCCTCATCCTCATCCTTTCTACACGTTTCCCTTTTTTCTTTTTTTACGTATATATATAACGTCAAGCGCCACAGCAAGCCATTTTTCCCCTGCGTCACAGCAAGCCATTTTCGCATAGCAAGCCATTTTCTTCCTGCGTCACAGCAAGCCATCTTCGCATAGGAAGCCACAGCAAGTCTAACGTGAACTCTTTGGTGTGTGTGTGTGTATTTGTGAAGGTATTGAGAAAGAGATGGTGGCGGTTGCTTGCACTCTTTTTTTTTTTTTTTAATTTTTCTTCTTTGATTGTTTTTTGGCGGGTACAATGCGATCTATATGAATATTTTCATATAAATCATATGCACATAATTTTTCATATGCCGATTTTTAAAGTGTAATTCTTATGAGTTTTTTACTCGAATTGTACTCAAAATAATCGTACTCAATAATTTGAGAAACCTTTAATCCTTGATTTTTTTTTAAATCACATTTGACTTATATAGATCTCTTAAAAGAAATCCAAGTCTTAGTGATAATCATAGGATTGTGATAAAAACAAGAGACCACATACCATGAGTGCATTAAGAATTTATTAAGGGTATTAGAAATCTCACGCCATAAGGCGTATATAAGATTTATCTTCATGGAGAGTACCAAATAATAAATCACAATCTCACATTTTAAAATGTATATAAGACTTGATTTAAATGTGTCGTATCTGCACCTTTTTTTTTTTTTCTATATATATATTCTTTCTTTCTTTCACTTTTCTTCTGCACACACGGTTTTTACTCTTTTTTTTTTTTACTTTCTCTCACCTCTTCACTGCACACACCTGCACAAAGTCTCCAGGCCAAAAAAATTTCTTCCCCCGTCCTCCTCTGCACTCACTCGCTTCCTTAATATAAGAGAACGAACACCACATTCTGCACCACATTTTATACCACCACGTTCTGCACCACATTTTACACCACATTATGCACCACGTTTTACTCCACGTTTTTACACCACGTTACATTTTACATCACATTCTGCACCACGTTTTACTCCACGTTTTTACACCACGTTCCATTAAAACGTGCATTTCTTTTTTTTTTTTTAAATCTCCCTTTTTTTTTGTAAGCCAGCACAAAATTGAGCCAGTACAAAAATTTATTTCTTCCTCTCAAAGACCCATTTGAGATTCATCATTTTTTTTTTTTTTTTACCGTGAACAAACACACAAGGCTTATCAAAGTCGAAACAGGGGGAGTAGTACTCCCGGTATTTTGTGTACGTGGTGTCATTTGTTGCAGAATAACCGACGTAAGAAGGTATTCTTTTACCACTTATACGTCGGTTGATAAAAGAGTGAGGAAATACCTTTTAACTTCAGTCAAAGGCGCTAACCGACGTGGTTTGATTGAGGTTATTGTGTCTTGTGTTGTAGTGAATAGTGTTATTTTAACACTAAATGATTAGAGATGCTTTTATATTAATATAACCTTGGAGGCTTGACAAACATATACGAGAGAAATTATTTTATTCTGGCCGGAATGATGCCTAAATCTGCCCCAACAAATGTTTTCAACACAAAGTTCATTCATATAGATGTCATCTATCAATTACTTA